TTCTTCTACACTGGAAGCTCCTGTCGTCAAGTCAAATTCCTTGTGTGTGTAAACATACTTGGTAATAAAGCTCTTTTGATTCTGATTCTGATTAATGTGAATCAAAGAACAAAAGAAAAGAAAATCCCTCACAGATCTTAACTGAATCACTTTTGTAACCTCAGTTTATATTTTATTTGCCTGTTGTTTGGCGCTGACTACTGTAATGGCAATGTGCATCTGTGTATGCGATTATTTTGGAGATGCGTTCCAATATAATTTATCCTTATTTAGGGTATAGGCCTATTTAGGGCTGCACAATTAATTGAATTTCTAATCGCAATTACAATTATGGACGCCACAATTACGTAATCGTTCAAAGTCCACTTATGTTATTCTGTGTGCTTAAGATGCTTTTTTCTTTCTACATGTTATCTTAAGGGTTTTTCCATTGTTTTCATTTTAGTATAACACTATAATACCATTTATATTTTAACTTTTTGTATAATTTAAAGAAGAAACCTATCCGATGTATAGTTGACATTTGAGGCTTAATACTATAGAAAAGCACTAAAGCACTGTAAAATCCAATAGTTTACCTTGCTTAGATATAATTAGTTATCTTTACTTAGTTGTTATACTTACTCGGTTTTATTAAGTAACAGCTACTTTTAAGGCGAATAAAACAACTTACTTGCTGCAATGAGTAACTCTTACTTAAAATATTCAAGTAGCCACAACAAAACCGATGACATTAATACACCAGTGGGAGGCAGCAGTGCGCTAATGTATTGCTAATGTGCAACAAAACAACAGAAGAAGAAATACGGACGGTTAGAGAGCATGCGCAACAAGCAACGGTTTTTTTGAATTTGTGCGCCGAATTTGCTGAGACTGCTTGCATTTTTACCACTGGACAAAGACTGATTACTTCTATACAATAATAATAAGGTAAGTTTCAAAAAATAATTGTCAATGTATCTTTCTGTGTGCTGCTAATTTTAACTGACTAACCTTGTCAGCGGTGTTAGCTAACAGATAACAAAGATCTTTGCTATTCTGCTGTTAGAAAAAAGACTGTAGAAATACAGAACTTGTGGCGTATTTCGGCGAATTTAAGACTTTTTTTACTTTTCAAACTGAAAAAATTGTAGCTAGTTAAAAAATGAAAAGTCAGAGGTACAATTCAAGAACATGCCAAAAGTCCTCAAGATGAGCTCACAGTAGGTTTTAAAGTCAATCTTTATGTGCCACTGATAATTAATTGTTTACTGTAATCTTTTGCAGTGTTAACACTATAATTGTATAACACTGAGGCTTTGGTCAGTTAAGTTATTTTTAAGTTAACCATGTTATTGTCAATATTTTTAATACATCACAATCATAGTCATCACGTGATCACACATTTAAGGTTTAAACTGAATGAGCTCTTTGTCTTGCAGTAATTATTGCTTTGCTGTGTTGAAACACTACAGTTACTACTGTAATACAGAGGGAATGCTGCTTTTCAATTGGTTTTATGACTGAGGCCTCAAGTAGATATGTATAGAAGTTTTCTTTCTTGTAAAGTATGCAAATATCAAGGAATGAATGTGTCTGTAATCTACAATTCACAACAATAGTGGAACTTGCCTTTAACTGAAGAATTATTTGTCATATTTAGGACTAGTGTTGTCAAAAGACCCGGTATTTCGGTACCAAGTCGGTACTAAAAAAATGAAAATGTTACGGTACCA